AGAATACCTGTAACAGCTCATCTAGGGTCAGAATACCTGTAACAGCTCATCTAGGGCCAGAAGACCTGTAACAGCTCTTCTAGGGCCAGAAGACCTGTAACAGCTCTTCTAGGGCCAGAAGACCTGTAACAGCTCTTCTAGGGCCAGAAGACCTGTAACAGCTCTTCTAGGGCCAGAAGACCTGTAACAGCTCTTCTAGGGCCAGAAGACCTGTAACAGCTCTTCTAGGGCCAGAAGACCTGTAACAGCTCTTCTATGGCCAGGAGACCTGTAACAGCTCTTCTATGGCCAGGAGACCTGTAACAGCTCTTCTATGGCCAGGAGACCTGTAACAGCTCTTCTATGGCCAGAAGACCTGTGACAGCTCTGAAGACCTGTTACAACTCTTCTATGACCAGAGGATCTGTTACAGCTCTTCTATGACCAGAGGGCCTGTCACAGCTCTTCTACGACCAGAGGACCTGTCACAGCTCTTCTATGACCAGAGGACCTGTCACAGCTCTTCTATGACCAGAAGACCTGTTACAGCTTTTCTATGACCAGTAGACCTGTTACAGGTCCTCTATGGGCAAAAGACCTGTCACAGGTCCTCTATGGGCAAAAGATCAGTTACAGTCCGTCTATGACCAGAAAACCTTTGACAGCACTTCAGGAGACATAAGACCGGTTACAGCTCTTCTAAGACCAGAAGACCTGTTACAGCCCTTCTATGACCAGAAGAATTTGTACAGCTCTTCTATGAACAGAAGACTTGTTACAGCTCTTCTATATCCAGGAGACCTGTAACAGCTCTTCTATGGTCAGGACAGCACTTCTATGGCCAGAAGACCTGTAACAGCTCTTCTATGGCCAGTAGACCTGTAACAGCTCTGAAGACCTGTTACAACTCTTCTATGACCAGAGGATCTATTACAGCTCTTCTATGACCAGAGGACCTGTCACAGCTCTTCTATGACCAGAAGACCTGTTACAGCTTTTCTATGACCAGTAGACCTGTTACAGGTCCTCTATGGACAAAAGACCTGTCATAGGTCCTCTATGGGCAAAATATCAGTTACAGCCCGTCTATGACTAGAAAACCTTTGACAGCACTTCAGGAGACATAAGACCGGTTACAGCTCTTCTAAGACCAGAAGACCTGTTACAGCCTTCTATGACCAGAAGAATTTTTAGAGCTCTTCTATGACCAGAAGTCCTGTTACAGCTCTTCTATGACCAGAAGACCTGTTACAGCTCTTCTATGACCAAAAGACCTGTTACAGCTATTCTATGACCAGAAGACCTGTTACAGCTCTTCTATGACCAGAAGACCTGTTACAGCTCTTCTATGACCAGAAGACCTGTTACAGCTCTTCTATGACCAGAAGACCTGTTACAGCTCTTCTATGACCAGAAGACCTGTTACAGCTCTTCTATGACCAGAAGACCTGTTACAGCTCTTCTATGACCAGAAGACCTGTAACAGCTCTTCTAGGGCCAGAAGACCTGTTACAGTTCTTCTAGGGCCAGAAGACCTGTAACAGCTCTTCTAGGGCCATACACACACATTTTTCTTTTTTAAATTTTACTGCCCCTCCTGAGTATCCAATTTCAACTACCTTGAAAGTTCACAAGAAATTGAGCAGAGCAGGAAAAATTTAAAAATCTAATGGAAAATCCAATTTACTGAGTGCTACCACGGCACTTGGAAAAGCGGAGCAACAGAAAAAAGTAATAATAAAATCATCAAGAACAACTGTGAACAACAAATGCAAATGTACGACCGACCGTTGTGCTGTGGGGGTAGGGGTTTTGAAGTACCAGTAAGACGTTGCCGATGCTGCTGTTGCCGCTGCCGCAGCTAAAAAGGACAAGCAATGGAAAACGACATTCACATAGAGACACACTGACATTCATTTATTCGACTGCATGCAAATTCATATCAAATATAAGTTATAGTCTCATGGCAGAGTGGTAGTAAAGGGAGGGAAGCCAGGGGAAAGGGGGGAGGGCAGTACATCAACCAGCCAAAACTGGATATTTGTTGCTTTATTTTAATTTAAGAAGAACTCATTTCGACCATGTGCTCTTCCTAAGCGAACGAAATTTTCAAAATGAAATCCTGATGACTACCTCGGTGTATCGAAACGTGCATAACAACATACCTTCAGACAAATATCGGCCATGGCGACGTTCTAAGGCAACTGGTATCATCATTCCGGGCAGTGGCATTGCTCCACATATGCATATCATTCTCGTGGAGGGAGGTCCATGAAATTTGGTTATAAATATTAAATATAATCTCGGCAAATTGAAACGGAACACATGTGTCTGTGGCAATTGTAATGGAGAAGCAATGGCAGCCATGGAAGATGGCAGTACGGCAGGATGGTAAAAGACCTTGCGGTAACTCAGGCAGGCAAGGCAAGGCATGGCATTAAAAACGAATTGAAACGAAATGGCCCAACGTGAAACGGTTGGGTCTTTCATTTTGGGGTTTTAGTTTAATTTCGTTTCGAAAGGCAGCCGAAGCCCGGCACTTTAATGGCATGTGATTTGTATCCTTCACGTAACGCAAGGATAATGAAATGTTTTTTGAGGGGGAGTGGAAGTAGGACATGTTTCCCATTTCATGTGTCATTTATTTAAAAACACAACCTACTTTGAATTTGTTTAAGGTCAAGGCAAGGTCTTGCCTGTCCCTTTCATGCCGATTATTTTATTAACTTCGCTGTCATTCCATTTGAATTTGTTTTTTTATTAATTAATGCAATTAAATAGTTAATTTAAGTTGATATTTAATTAAAACGGCCATTTGAAATCTTAATTAAGTTTTGTTAATTAAGGGTTGAAAAACATGAGATTTGTTCTGCCTGAGTGAATAGCCAGTATCTCACCTGCTTTAACAAAAAGACTGCCACAAATTTGTTAGACAAAGAAAAGCGCTGAAGAACTCTAAGCCATTGATGAGCAGTAAGACGATATCTGATCATAGAAGAACTGTATCAGGTCTTCTGGGCATAGAAGATATCTTCCGGACACAGAAACGCTTTAAAATTATGATCTGTAACAGGTCTTCTCGCCATAGGAGAGCTGTTACAGGTCTCCTGGTCATAGAAGAGCTGTTACAGGTCTTCTGTCCCATAGAAGAGCTATAACAGGTCTCCGGGTCATAGAAGAGCTGTTACAGGTCTTCTGTCCCATAGAAGAGCTATAACAGGTCTTCTAGCCCATAGAAGAGCTATAACAGGTCTTCTAGCCCATAGAAGAGCTATAACAGGTCTTCTAGTCTATACTAGAGCTGTTACAAGTCTTCTAGAAGACCTGTAACCGCTCTTCTGTCCCATAGAAGAGCTATAACAGGTCTTCTAGTCCATATAAGAGCTGTTACAGGTCTTCTGGCCTTAGAAGAGCTGTAACAGGTTTCCTTGCCTTAGAAGAGCTGTAACAGGTCTTCTGTCCCTTTCATGCCATAGAAGAGCTGTTACAGGTCTTCTGGCCACAAAAGAGCTGTTACAGGTCTTCTGGCCACAGAAGAGCTGTTACAGGTCTTCTGGCCATAGAAGAGCTGTTACAGGTCTTCTGGCCCCAGAAGAGCTGTTACAGGTCTTCTGAGCCCAGAGGAGCTGTTACAGGTCTTCTGACCCCAGAAGAGCTGTTACAGGTCTTCTGGCCATAGAAGAGCTGTTACAGGTCTTCTGGCCATAGAAGAGCTGTTACAGGTCTTCTGACCCCAGAAGAGCTGTTACAGGTCTTCTGGCCATAGAAGAGCTGTTACAGGTCTTCTGACCCCAGAAGAGCTGTTACAGGTCTTCTGGCCATAGAAGAGCTGTTACAGGTCTTCTGACCCCAGAAGAGCTGTTACAGGTCTTCTGACCCCAGAAGAGCTGTTACAGGTCTTCTGACCCCAGAAGAGCTGTTACAGGTCTTCTGGCCATAGAAGAGCTGTTACAGGTCTTCTGGCCATAGAAGAGCTGTTACAGGTCTTCTGACCCCAGAAGAGCTGTTACAGGTCTTCTGCCTATAGAAGAGCTGTTACATGTCTTCTGTCCTTAGAAGAGCCGTATCAGGTTTTCTGGCCTTAGAAGAGCTGTAACAGGTCTTCTGGCCTTAGAAGAGCAGTAACAGGTTTTCTGGCCTTAGAAGAGCTGTTACAGGTCTTCTGGCCATAGAAGAGCTGTTACAGGTCTTCTGCCTATAGAAGAGCTGTTACATGTCTTCTGTCCTTAGAAGAGCCGTATCAGGTTTTCTGGCCTTAGAAGAGCTGTAACAGGTCTTCTGGCCTTAGAAGAGCAGTAACAGGTTTTCTGGCCTTAGAAGAGATGTTACAGGTCTTCTGGCCTTAGAAGAGCTGTAACAGGTTTTCTGGCCTTAGAAGAGCTGTTACAGGTCTTCTGGCCCCAGAGAGCTGTTACAAGACATCTGGCCTCAGAAGAGAAGAGATGTAACAGATCTTCTGGCCAACGAAGAGCTGTAACAGGTCTTCTGCCCATAGAAGAGCTGTAACAGGTCTTCTGCCCATAGAAGAGCTGTAACAGATCTTCTGGCCATAGAAGAGCTGTAACAGATCTTCTGGCCATAGAAAATATGTAACAGATCTTCTGACCCCAGAAGAGCTGTTACAGATATTCTGACCCCAGAGGAGCTGTTAAAGATTTTCTGACTCCAGAAGAGCTGCAACAGAACTTCCGACCACAGATGACCTGTAGCAGAACTTCTGACTCCAGAAGAGCTGTTTCAGTTATTCTGACCCCAGAAGAGCTGCAACAGAACTTTTGACCCCAGAAGACCTGTAACAGAACTTCTGACCCCAGAAGACCTTTAACAGATATTCTCGCTCCAGAATAGCTATAAAAGATCTTTCTCTTCAGAAAAGCTGTACCAGATTTTCTCTCTCCAGAAGAGCTGCAACAGATCTTCCCTCTCCAGAAGAACTGTAACAGATCTTCTCTCTTGAGAAGAGCTGTAATTTGTGTCTTTACCACTCTAATAACAATTGTGCATCTTCCCTACCATTCCAGGAAATTTTTCACGAACATGCCACGCACTTGCGTATCCTCAAGGAACACGAGGATGCTGGGGCCATTGTCACGTCCAATGTACCCGAACGCTTGAAGAACAATTTAATGGCCAACTTTCGTAACGGCAGTCGCCACGCCCCCTATTTCATTTATGGTGGGCATGGCAGTGGCAAAAGTGCCATTATGACTGCCCTGTATCGCGATGTCAAGACTTGGTTCCAGCCGAATTGTCGCATACATCGTGTCATCCGTTTCGCCTCGGCCACACCCCGCTCAGCCTACAATTTGGAACTACTGCGTGTCATCTGCCAACAAATTTCAATTATCTACAACATACCCGAGGGGTATCTGCCCAAGGATGCCTCCTTCGATCCGCTCTACATTAACAATTGGTTCCAGAATCTGCTGCGACGCATCGAGGACATGAACAATGATGTCCTGTTTCTCTTCATCGATGATCTGCATCTGCTGAATCCCCTCGACTGTGATATTGTTGCGGCCCTCTCCTGGTTGCCCACCTCATTGCCGTGGAATGTTCAGTTGATTTTTTCCACCACAACGCCGGTGGAACAGTTGAAATTCACGCCCATGCAAAGGGATCGTTTCAAGTCGACGGAATATCTCTTCGATTTGTCGGTGGAGGAAAATCGCACAGTGCTGAAGAAACAATCATTGGGAGACAATAATTTATCCTTTTGTCAGTATGTGGAGCAGCAGTTCGATCAGCTGGAGAAGCGCTATGGTCGTAAGGGTTTTGGACGATTGGCATCGTATTTGACTCTCTCGGAGTTTGGTTTGTCGGAAACGGAGCTGTTGGAGTTACTCATGCCCATCGAGGATCCGGAGGCCCAAATCGAAACGGAAAAGGGGAACTTTTGTTTCTCGTCGCTGAAGAAGATACACAAGGAAATGAGTAGGTCCAAGGAAATCCCAACTAACTTATTGTTGTTGTTAATTCTTCCACGCTTTTGATTTTTTTCTCCTTCTCTTTAGGTTTCCTCTTGCGCGACAAAATCATGTCGGCCAAGGTCTTAATACACTGGCGTTATCCTTACTGCAAGGAACTGACCCGCTCCCGCTATTTGGACGCCAACAGCATTCGATCGATGCACATTGCCATAGCAAATATATTTTTCCCCGCCGAAAATGATGACCAGGACGAGGAGGAAGACGACGATGATGACGACAGCACGGAACGTGATGGGGACAGCGATCGCCAGTCATTGGCCAGTCAGACGACCATCAAAGATAAGGACAACTCATCGGCCGGTCGTAAATCGTCGGCTCCCCATCACAACGATGACACGTCGACATTTTACAATCCCATGGCCGCAGATGTGTCGTACAGCATGCGCCACGTTGAGGAGAGCTGGCATCATTTGATGCGTTCCGATGATCTGGATAAATTCAAACAGATCGCTGTGTGCAATTTTGATTTCCTACTGGCAGCGGTAAGTCTAGTCTATTTTTTACGAAGTAAAAATTCAAGGAAAGGGTAATTAAGTGTTTTAGCCAGGCACGTAGGCACTCAAAAAAAAATTACAAAAAACAAGTTAAAAAGCAGTTTGAATAAAACAAAATCTATTAAAAGTTCTGTTAAAATGTTAAAAATACCGACTATAGCCGTTATATTGGGGTCTTTACGACGTGGACCTACATAGGCATGTTTGCCGTAAGCCATTACCATAAATAAAATTCGAAACGTGAAATAAGCGGTGAATAATGTGGCTTAAATCATTAAATCATCATTCGTACAAATATAAGGGACATTTCACAACCATCGCCAAATCTCTAATACAGGTATCATCGGTAAGCTAAATATCAAATTTCAGAATTTTCTCCCTATCCCTTACCTTTTTTACAATTGTAGTACACATTTCCGAAAGCACCTCTATATGTCTAGGCTCTACACCTGAACAGCGACCTTTGTACCAAGGGTGAGATAAAAAAAACTGCAACAAAGTCAAACGCCATTATTATACCCTCAGCCATATAGCTAGAGAGGATGTATATCATTTGATACGGCCAAAACGTGCCTAGTTGAAATAACGGTTTTAGACCCTAGGTCTCTTTGGACCAAATCCATTTCAGGACATTTGGAGTCGATCTAGCGATGTCCGTCCGTCTGTCTGCCTGGCTGGTGCACACGAATGCTATCGAAGGGAGTATCCGATTTGGTCCAAACTTGGTATATCGTAATCGTATCGGAGACGGGCAATATCAGTCCACTCCTTCTAGTACCTCCCCCACAAAAGGTCGAAATTTTCAAAAAATATATTTTCTTCACAGAAAGAGAAACGATAATCCGATTTTCTTCAATTTCGCCAAACCTAATATTTGCATCAGTACTTCTCCATTAAGTACCTCCCCCACAAAGGGTGAAAATTTTGAATAATTATAACTCTTATAAAATACTATGTAATAGTCCGATTGTCTTCAAATTACACGCATCACAATATTTTTATTAACCCAAGGTTTGGTGGGAAAATGGAATATATCGGCTTACTCCTTCTGGTATCTCCCAACCCTACAAAGGATCAAAATTTTGAATGTCTATGAATCATGAAACATGCGACTCAGACTTGGTCCATCTCAATATTTCTGTCAACACAAGATCTCTTTTTAAAAATGGTAGAGATCGGACCATTCCTTCCGATACCTCGCCCACAAAGGGTCAGAGTTTTGAATAACCAAAAGATCATAAATTCCGAAATAAGCATCCGGTTCTCTTCAAATTACAAACATCAGAATATTTTTATTAACCCATGGTCTGGTATTAAGATGGAATGCATCAATTTACTCCTTCCGGGAACTCCCCGACAAAGAGTCAAAATTTCGAATATCCTTGAAGCTCATAAAACGCGAAATTAACATCCGACTCCATTCAGACTTGTCACATCTCAATATATATATCAACACAATATTTTTTATAAATATGGTAGAGATCGGAACATACCATCGAGAATTAACACACCCCTCCCAAAAAAAAAAAAAAAAAAAGGTTTTAAATTATCCAAACGATTATAAAATCCGAAGCAAGCATCCGGTTCTCTTCATACTTCACACATCCTATTATTTCTACTAACACAAGATCTGCTGTGAAGATGGAGTGTATCGGTTCACGCCTTTTGGTACCTCCCCCACAAAGAGTCAAAATTTCGAATATCCTTGAAGCTCATAAAACGCGAAATTAATATCCCACTCTATTCAGACTTGGAACAGCTCAATATTTCTATCAACACAATATCTGGTACACCCCCACAAAGGGTTTAAATTTGAAATATCCATGAACCTCATACACCTCAATATTTCCATCAACACAAGATCTGTTATAAAGAGGGAAGAGATCGGACTTGACATACTAGCTTCTAGACTCAATTCGGTCGTAAGTGCCAAATGTCATCCCATTTGGGCAAATATTAGACGTTTGGTACACAATAAAAAAGTAAATCGAACGAACTTATATAGAGGAGATATATCCAAATCCGGACCGATCTCGATAAAATTTAGCAAAGGTATTTCTGAGCTGTGTTTGATATATTTCCCCAAATATTGTTGTTAGAGAGTGCATTTTACGGCTGCGGAGGACTAAAATAACAAATCGGATGAAAAATATATATGGGAGCTATAGCTATATCTGAACCGATTTCAATCAAATTTGGCATATTTATTTTCAGGCCTAATTTGGTTGTATGTGCAAAATTCCATACTATTAGGGCTGATATTAAACGTTTGCTGCACAATAAAAGGCAAATCACACGAAGATATATATGGGAGCTATATCTAAATTTTTACCGATTCTCTCCAATTTCAATAGGATTCGTCCTTGGGTCAAACAAATGATTTGTACAAAATTTCGTCTGGATCTGGTAATAAATGCGAACTGTACTTTGGACGGACGAACGGACAGACAGACGGACGGACATGCATAAATCGACTCAGAATGTGATTCTGTGCAGATCATATCTGGGACCTCAAGCACACTTTAATATTTTCTAAAAATTATCACATATCTCATATAAGCTGAACTAAGTAGTCGTTATGGTCCAAACCTTGAACGGCACAATATTTAAGTCATATATATTTAGGTCCGATACGAAATGAACAATATTAGCCCATTCCTGCGGAACCTACTCCATAGAGGGTCAATCATTTGAATAATCATAACAGAGCTCGAAATATATTTAAATAATCGCACATTGGCTGAGGGTATAAATCTGTCTCCCAAAATCGACTGATACTTTTTGAAATTTTAGTAACCATTTTGACAAATATTTTTATATATCCAGTCGTTTCGACCTTTTCCCACCCTAGATGTCGCTCATGATCAAGTTTCGAATTCTAGCTTCTCCCTGTGCATTTAGTCCTTTTTTTAGCACAACATCTGTGACCCTTAAGCTAAAAGGTATGAAAATATCCCCCCATAGCTTCCCCTCTTACTAGCATACATAGAAGCCCGTAAAAATGTTATTAATTTATTCAAACTAGTTATCAACATTTTAGCAACTATAGCAATTTATTTGTCCGGACAATAACCCCTTCAAAATTTCCCCGATATCTGTTAACTTTGTAATTAATTTTCAGGTAAATTAACTGTAGTTGTCAAACTTCAAACAAAAACGGAAAATTGTGTAACGAAAAAATTTACCCCCAAAACATCGGTGCATTTTATGGCAAAAGTTTTTGGCAGAAAAAAAAACAGAAACAAAAAAAGCAACCAAAAACAGATCCATAAACAAAAACAACAAAAGTTATGGCTCAACATTAGCTACAGAGCCCCATGCAGGTTCTGTTCTCGACAGGGTGAAATTAAAAAACTGCAACCAACTTTAGACTGCTATCATTTCTAAGCCACTCGTCCGACAGTTGTTAAAATTATTCTAGTGACAGCTCGTTATATTGTTTATAAGCGTACGAAAATATTTTGGTGAGAATTTTCCAGAAAAAAAGTTATTCGTGGTGGAATTCAAGCACGATAGTGTGATTTCTTTATATTTGGCTGGTAAGCCATTAGTGACTATCGTTAGAGCGCTCCAGCATTTAAATGTGAATAAATCTATTGTGTCTCGTACCATCGCTCGTTACCGATTACGTGATACTGGTAGCGTAGCCCGACATATGTCAAGGAAGTGGAGGGAAGAAAACAGCAACATCAGCAGAAATGGTTCGAAAAGTAAAAAAGCGACTTGATCGAAACCCGCGTCGCAGTGGCCCAAAAATGGCTTGTGAGCTGAACCTATCCTAATATTCCATTCGGCAAATATGAGCTCGGGGTAAAGCCATTGAAATTTCAAAAAGTGCAAGAACTTACACCGCAACAGTAAGAAAATTGACTCAAAAGAGCTAAAGAGTTGCTTCGAATGCCAAATTTCTCCGATGAGAAATCATTCGTTGTCCAGCAGTTTGTAAACAAACAAAATGATCGTGTTTTCCTGCCAAAGAGGTCAGCTGCAAATGTGCACCTTCGGTTGGCCACCAGAACTCAAGCACCGGCCATGGTGATGGTGTGGGCCGCCATAACAGCCGATGGTTGCTCTCCGCTCGTATTTATCGACCATCAGAATAAATGCCGAATATTATCGCGAAAATATTCTGGAGGGTGTATTAAAGCCTTGGGCACGCAAACATTTTGGCTGCAGACCTTGGACATTCCAACAGGACTCAGCACCATCGGACTCAGCACGCGCCACTCAAGAATGGTTACAAAATGAGGTTCCTTGCTTAAAACTGGCCACCAAAATCTCCGGATACCAATCCATTGGACTATTGTGTCTGGAGAATTTTGAAAAGCAAGGTTGGCACTAAAAGATACCAAAGTGTCGATCACCTCAAGCAAACGCTTCGCCGGGAATGGACCAAAAAAGCGCAGAGCAACATTCGGGCAACGTGTGACGGTTTCATTGGACGTATAATATTTTTTGTCAAATTTAGATCGAGTTCGGAGATGGGCAATATCGGTCCACTCCTTCTGGTACCTTCCCCACAAAAGTTCGAAATTTTCAAAAAATTTATTCTTTGCCCAGAAAGAGAAAGGATAATCCGATTTTGCTCCAACTTTTCATATCCTAATATTTGCTAGGTCAGGTGTGAAAATGGACAATACCGGTCCACTCCATCAAGTGCCTCCCCCACAAAGGGTCAAAATTTTGAATAATTACAACTCTCATAAAATTTGATGTTAGAGTCTAATTGTCTTCAAATTTCACACATTCCAATATTCATATTAACCCAAGGTCTGGAGTTAGGATGGGCAAAATCAGTCCACTCCTTCCGGTACCACCCCCACAAATAGTCGAAATTTGCAAAAAAAACGACATATATATTTCCTGCACAGAAAGGGAAACAATAATCTAATTTTGCAAATCGTAATATTCGCGTCAGTTCTAGGACTCGTGCTAAAATTTATAGTATTTGTCCACTCCACCATTTAGAACGAATTTGAAATTTTTCG